GGCCTCCCCTGCAGCGGCCAGGACGCCCAGGCTCCCTCTCTCGGGCCTGGAAGGAGTGCAGAGCGGGGCTGTCCCAGCTGCAAGCACGAACCGCCTCTGTGCCCTCAGCCACCCAGTCTGCTCACGCTGGCAGATGCCACGGGGCTTTGTCTGTGATGGGGACCCCAATCTTTCTCCAGTCTTAAACTCAGGTTGCCTCCCTTTCCTCTTCTCCGCTTTATTGATTGGAGAAACGGGGCTGTGTACCCCACCGAGCTCCCCACTGTCTGGGACCGCAGTGGTGTGTGGGCTTCTGCTCCTCCGCCCCGGCGCTCCCTGGAAACAGAGGGGTGCCCCCTCCTGCTCCAGGCTGCTATTTTGGCCCCTTCCTCTGCTGCCTGGGCCCTCCCACAGGGGACACACAGCTTGATCACCACGTGCCCTCTGCCCAGAGCTGCGCATTCACGAGGACACGCTGACCTTGGGGTTTGACCTCCTCCTTCGAGGAGCTGGAGCCCATCAGGACTCCTAGCGCAGCTGCACTGCAAGATGGGGCCCCCTGGTGGCTCAGCGGGTTAAGTCAAAGCACCTTCAAGCTATCGCCAGCCACTGCAGCATGAGTTCGATCCCCGGCCAGGGAGCTGGCCCACAGGGCGCAGCAGACCTCTCCTGTCTGCCCCCGCTGCTCCTCCCAGCAGTGTGTTTCAGTCCATCTGCCTGTTCTTCTCCCCACTCTGTCTCTGGTGAATCCTCTGACCCTCTGCACTCTGCCTGCACCCCAGTTCTTGTGAGCACAAATAAATAAAAACTTTTTAAAAAATAGCTATATTGCAAGAAAAAGCACCACAGCGAGAGGGGTCATAAATTAACAGATTTAAAGGGCATATCAGCCAATAACATGTTAATGTCATTTGGTTTCCAGTTTCAACAAACTTTAATGGTAGATTCCAAACAGACATTCATGAGACAACTGGAACTTTGAACTTAATGTGAAGAAATTGTTGTTCATTATGCGCATGGAAATTTTTACATATAAAATGATGATGTCTCAGATTGGCTTAAAATGCTGTGCCTAGGAGGGGGTTGGGCAGGGAAAACGACCAGCTGGGGCCGATGATGCTGGAAGCTGCCACTTCTCTCAGTTCTTTTATGTATGGAATGTTCATATCAAAAAATAACTTTCTAACTGAATTTTTTGAAACTACATTCTACTGTCGCTACTTCTGTGAGCATTTTCAAGGAACCATTTCTTGTTGAATTATTTCCTTTGCAAGGTGTGCATGGCAGAAGAGAGGGCCCTGTCCAGGGCTCCGTCCCTCTCGGGCCTCAGCTTTCACCCCACCTGACTCACCCCCTCTCTGACTCTCATCTCAGTCACATTCTTCTATGTCCGAGTTCCCAACATTCGGTCCCTTGGGGCAAGTGCTGCCTGGAGGGGCCTCAAGCTCCGTGCTAATGTCCTAAGGCTGCTGCAGCAGAGCATTATAAAGCAGGTGGCTTAACTCTCCAGGACCGGCTCTCCCAGGGGAGCCCAGGTCTGAAATCCAGGAGTCAGCAGCACCGGGCTCCCCAGAGACTCTAGGGGAGAGTCCTTGCCTCTTCCAGGGTCTGGTAGCAGAACTCCTGCATCTCAAAACTTCCGCTCAGAACTCCCACGTCTACAACTCCTGAGTAGTCACGGAACTCCTGTGTCTAGAACCCCCTGTCTCAGAACTCCCACATCTAGAACCCCCTGTCTCGGAACTCCCACTCAGAACTCCCACATCTAGAACCCCCTGTCTCAGAA